CTCTCACATTGTCTGGTGCTGGCCAATCATGCACAGCTTTCACCTTGTCAGGATCAGTTCACACACCATGCTCATTTACGAAGTAAAGCACCTCTCTCTGGAACAAGTGGCATTTCTTGGGATGGAGATTGAGGTTTGCTGCTTTCAAACGCTTGAATACTTCCTCTACCCGGGATACTTCCACATCAAATGTTGCTGCAAACACAATGATATCATCCAGGTACACTAGGACTATCCTCCATTGTAGGCCTTCCAGTACTCTTTCCATCAGCCTCTCAAATGTTGCTGGAGCATTGCTAAGCTCGAATGGCATCACACAGTATTGCCAGAGACCTTGGCCATAACTAAATGCAGTCTTAGGTTTATCTGCTTCAGCCATTTTCACTTGATGGAAACCTGACCGCAAAAGTCCAGAGTTGAAAACCACCTGGCTCCACTTAGGGCATCAAAAGTATCATCAATTATTGGCAGTGGGGATGAGTCTTTTTCGGTGATACTGTCAAGAGCCCTGAAGTCCACACAGCAATGTTGGGTTCCATTTTTCTTCTGGACTAACACGACAGGAGCTGACCAGGGACTATCTGATTTCTCGACTATTCATTCTTTAATTAGGCCACCCATGACTTTCTCCATCTTTTGTCGCTTTGCTGGAGCTATTCTCCTCGGAGGGATCTTTATTGGATGATGATTGCCTGTGCTTATTCTGTGCTCCACAAGGTTTGTGCATAATACACCACAAGTTCCCTAACTTGAAGAGCCTGTGATGACGACAAATGGACTATGCTCTTCTTATAGAGGTCAGTTAAATGCTCTGGGAGAGGATGTCCTTTCTTTATGGTTGTATATCTTGCCTTAACATTGACTAGCTCTACCTCCTGGCACACAACCAACAATGCCCCTTCCTTAAGGGTCTGCTCACATTAAAATAAATTAGCCACTCATCTCATTTGGGTACTACTTGATGACTTGCCACAAGTGGCCTTCCAATCTTCACGTCCACTGGCCTGGATGGGTCTTCCACTGCTTCCACAAGCATCGGGCTTCCTTGGGGATGTTCTTTTATTCTACCCCAAATTATCTTCTCTGACATAGGGGGTATTGTAGTTGATTTAAGTGCTATAACATGAAAATCAACAGATGCAGCAACACTTACCGGAATTTGGCCTTTGTTGTTTTACACTTAGCTGTTGGGACTTTCACGATGGGGGTTGGGGGGCGTCCCTCAACACCAACCACTACTGGTTTCTCCGAGGCTGAATTATTGGTAGTATTCTTCTTACACTGGCTCTTCATATGTCCTTGCTCTCCACAGTTCCAACAACCTTTCTGGATATCAGCCTTTCCTGCTGTAGCATCTTCCCTGTGTTGAAGTTGCCGACATTGAGCTCTCTTGTACCCAGGTTTGTTACAGTGCCAGCAAAGTTCCTCAAACTTCTCTGAGAGCTGCCCTTTTCTGGCTTTGAATCCTGATGACTGTACCAATCTTGATACCTATGGACTCGACTTACCGTAGGATTCAAATTCAAGAGTTCTGGCCATTGCATCCTGAATAGTAGAGGGGTGTGTTTGCTTCACTTGTATCTTCACTTGTGGACTGTCCAAGGCATCTATAAACTGATCCCTCAGCAACAGCTTGAGGATCGGGTGGTGCAGTTGGGTAGGCCTTGTGTGCCATACTTTCCAAATCCTATGCCAGCTCTAGTCCTAAACCTAGCCCTGTAGACTTTGGACTGATTTGGAGTTCCATACCTGATTTCTAGAGCAGCTACCAGTGCTCTATAATTCTGCCTGTCGTCTGCTAACAACTGTCTTAAGTATTTCCAGTGGTTGTCCCTTCAGGCTCGTTGCTAGGTACACTGCTTTCTGCTCCTCTGTCCATCCATTCATTTCTGCCAGTAGCTCGAATTGTGCTCTATATGCTTCCCGTGGTGCCTTCCCATCGAATTCCTGTGGCTTCCTTCGTACTGGATCACCCCTATTGCTGACATTCATATTTGGGATGTGACTTCTGGCAGGACTGAAAATGTCTGCATTAGGGTTTAGCTGCAGGGTCTTGAAGGAGCTTCCTGTTGTCTGGGGCTGATTAGGTCCATGGCTAATATATCCTCCCCTGTGTGAAAGACAGTAAATCATCCTTTAATGTATTTAATTCACTTTGAAATGTACTAATATATTCCATTTGTACTTCATGCTGATGTTGTACTCTCTGTCCTTGTTCTTCTTGCCACTGTTGCTGATTTTCCTGTAGTTGTTGGAGACTTTCTTCCTGTTTACTTTCTTGTTCCAGTTGCCACTGGTGCT